AGACAAAGAAAGATGACAGGGCAATATAATTATTCTCCTGTGATTTGGAATATCATGAAAAAACTAAACCTATCTGCAAATAAATAGATGCAATGCCTAGATAAATTAGATGTGTAACATTTTTACCCTGCACTGGAAAGGCAGGGAGCTGGAATAATTACACAAGCATAGCTTCAAAAAGTCATTTCTTAAGGTATGTACTTCTGTATGTCCCAGGTTATTCTTTCTTATTCATAAATGTTTATAAGGATTTCTGTTTATTTTAGAATAGTGTATATCATCATAAAGAAATGATAGATGAATTTTAGTTAGTATACATTACAAAAATAAACATTTATAATCAAAATTGCTAACAAGGGTCTTATTTTGAGTAATTTCTGTAATTGTGGTATAAAGTATATTTTCTCTTCTAAGTTTCACACTTACCCTTGCTTATAAATAGTGGGATTATTTTAAACTAACCTTCAGCAACTTAATAGTTCTAGTGTGATACTACAGACCTATTGCTCTTTTTAAAGTTGTAACATGAGGGGAGCAATTCCATAATTTTCTACATACAAAACTCAAAATTGAAAGTCTAGAGAACACTCATGGGAAATATACCCTAAAAAGATGTATATTGGCTGTGAAAATCTATGTTGACATATTTTTATTCAAGATCATTGTTTTTATATTGCGTGTTACTAAAAGTAACTAAAGTCTCTCCATGTAAATCTTTAAATCATTCTGAGACTCAAGGGGAAAATTACAAGGATGTTTTCTTTGTGATTTTAGTGCATGCTGCTATCTGGTTTCTCAATGCCCCTCTGGATCTAAGATTACTTCTTGATGAAAGGTGGTCAGTTTCTGGGCCTCCTAATAGGCTAAGATAACCAGTCCATTTGCCTCTGTTATTTCCAACATCCATTACTTCTGGTACTTAGATTCCCTCCAAAATTAGCCAATGAAATGGATCCTATTCTACTGCCTATTGAAACAAGCTTATAAACTTCTCTCAGACAATTTTCTTAAGGACTAGTTTTAAAAAAAAAAGACCAGTTCTTATTCTGGGGAAATAAAGATGAATGGATGTGAGAAACTGGAGAAGCTACATTTTTTCCTGTAAAAAACTTTAAGAAAATCTCTCAATAATTAATCTAATGTGTACTTTATAACACTACTCATACAAAACTCCAAAGCTTCTAGTAACTCCTTTTCCCAACAAGACACTGAATGGGAAATAAACTTTGTCTAGTCACCCCGTCTCTGTCTCTTTGGGCAATTTGTCTTACTCTTGGTCTACTTACTGGATATTTTACTTGACTATGTGAGTGACTAGAGAGCAAACAAGTTGGGTTTGAGAATTTATTGTACAGGCATGGTAACAACATAAACAACTGCTTGTTGCTAAAATTTTCCAAGTCGGGGCTGGGGAGATGGCTCAGTGGAATATGCACTTCCCTGGCAAGCACAAGGGCCTGAGTTCAATCCCCAGTTCCACAAAAACAAAAAAAAAAAACATGGTTCTAAAATTTTCCAAGTCAGAATATCCTCATATTTTACAATAGAGAATATCAAGGGAGTTTTTTTCTTCTTAATAACGTAGTTTTTCCTAATGATCTGAATTTTGAGTAGCAAGCATATCATTGTTTACCTATAGATCTGCATTATAGGTTGCTCTTTTGTGGGACACTAGATCCAAATTCTAACAGAAACAATGGATCACCCTAAATAAACACAAATAGCACTGGTAGATAACTGTTAGCTATGAAACTATAGCCCTGTTTGACTACATATTAGTGATGAAGTCTGGATCAGATGATCAAGTGAAGGAATGCTTTCCAAGAACCTAAAGACCTCTGAAGAAAAGTTCCCTGGAGGACAGTCACTGCCCCAAGCTGATTCATTCGTGCCAGAGGAAATTCCCAGATCAAGTTAGAATGCCAGGGCTGTACCTGAGGCTCCTATAAGGGAGAACACTTTGTCCATATGTAATCAAATTAAGAACACATGAAAAGATCCCTATATGAAGCATCAAGGTGACTACCATAGGTACAATACAGTCTAAGAAAATGATATGAAAATAAGTAGCTATATGAGAATTATTTTGCAGTATGTTAATGTTTATTTTGAAGACTTTTAAAAGTATTGGTCCTTCAAGTCATAGTTTTCTGAAATTTTCACTACCAAATTGCAAAGTGAAATTTCTTCTGCTCACATGACCTTAGTAGAAAAAGACAAAAATTTATGTCATTGTTGATCTGGAAGATTAATCACTTTTATTTGACAGTCTACTATCACTAATTGACTTCTGCACTCATCATTACCTTTTCCTACAACAAAATCAGCTTGAGTTAGTATCATTTCATCCCAGAATTAATCTAATCATAAAAATGCAACTGAGTTAACCTGCCCCTTTGGTGTCCTGGTTTGGTTGAATCTTCTTTCTTCTTCTTCTTCTTCTTCTTCTTCTTCTTCTTCTTCTTCTTCTTCTTCTTCTTCTTCTTCTTCTTCTTCTTCTTCTTCTTCTT